ATCAGGCAATAAATATGGAAAGTTGTACAGACTATAGGTTCGTAGCCAGCCAGCATGAGCCAGCAAATGAAGCTTCTAATCTAAGTATGATTTTTTATACCATTTTAATAAATTAGCTTGCTGCCCATCAACATGTTTTTCATAGTTCTAAATTATTTATGCAATAGCTTTATACGAGGTCTTCGTTTGCTTAGGTGGCGAGCTTATTGAAATTTTACGGGGAGGAGAAGATAAAGAAAATAATATACTAAATAACAGAGAGCCGTCACCATCAACCCCGCTTTCTAAAAATAATGCTTCGGAAGAAAAGAAGAAGTTGACAAGAAAGAGACAACGAAATCCCGAGGCATGGAAGAAAAATAAAAAGAAATGTTTGAAAAATTCAGGTATGGCTTACACTACAGAGAAAGGAAAATTAGTTAATGCTAAACAATTAAAACCTGGTTGTGGAGACAAATGTCGCTTGAAGTGTACACTGATGATTAATGAGCAGCAAAGATTAGTAATATTCAATAATTTTTGGATATTAGGTGATTTGAATAGACAGCGAGATTTTGTCAAAAATGCTATGAAAGAAGTAAAGCCGAAATATTCGCTACATAATGCTCAGAGTAAAAGATCTATTAATGCGGCTTATCATTTAACAGTAGATGGTATAATTATAAGGGTATGTAAAAAGTTCTTTATGCACACTTTGGATATAGGGCACTCATTTATAACGACGGTATGTAAGAAAACAACATCATCGGGTATAGTTTTAGAAGATTTAAGAGGTAAGCATAACAAGAAAGGTAAACTATTACCTGACTTTGTTAAGGATGGAGTACGTGAACACATTAACTCATATCCTACTAAGGAATCGCACTACTGTCGAGCATCATCAAATAAACAATATTTTGATGGTGATTTAAATCTATGTATGATGTACAGGCAATACAAAGAGTGGTGTAATAAAGAAGGTAAGCCTGAAGCTAAACAAGGAACGTATGAAAACATTTTTAGAACTGAATTTAATATAGCTTTTCATGTACCAAAGAAGGATCAGTGCTCTCTTTGCTGTTCTTATAATAATGCAACAACAGAACAGAAACAAGAAATGGAAAAGAGTTATAAAGATCATCTTACAGAAAAAGAGCTTTGCAGAGAAGAGAAGAGGATAGATATAGAAACATGCAAAAATGACAAACAAAAGATTATTTGTTGTTATGACTTGCAAGCGGTTCTTCAAACTCCAGCGGGTAATGACTCGCTATTTTTTTATAAGAGACGCCTTAATGTTTATAATTGTACCGTATATGACATCGTTAATAAATCTGGACATTGTTATTTATGGGACGAAACTTTGGGTGGAAAAGGATGTGACGAGGTAGGATCTTGTATTTTACAGTTTTTCAAAGAGTTTTGTCATGGAAAACATGTCATATTTTATACCGACAATTGCTCAGCACAAAATAAGAATAAGTATTTATTGTCATTATACTATTATGCCTTAAAAATGTTGGGTGTGAAATCTATAACACACAAATACTTTGTTGTCGGGCACACTCAGAACGAAGGCGATAGCGTTCATGCCACTATTGAAAGAGAAAAATCCCGAATATTAAAAAATGGTTCCGTGTTCGTGCCATCTCAATGGAGGACAATTATACAATGTGCTAAAAAGAAAGGTAATCCCTACCAAGTTCATGATTTAAATTATTCAGATATTTTTGATTTAAAAGAACTAATTGCACACTTTGGGAAAAATTTTACAATAAATACAGAAGGAGAGCGTGTAGTGTGGAATGATATCAAGAAAATATTTATGCAAGCTACTAATCCTTTCGCTATTTATTACTTGGATACTTATAAACCTGACAGTACAATGAAATGCTTCAATGTTCGGCATAAAATGCGGGGCAAGCCTAACGAAACATTAGTTTTGACAAATAAATATCGCACTCGTCCTGGAATATCAAATCTTAAAAAGAAAGATTTGATTTCATTATGTGATGGTAACGTAATTCCAAGCGTTTATTGGGATTATTATAAAACATTGCCAGCGTCCTCAGATAGAGCTGACGATGACTAATTGTTCCATTTTTTATATTTTCTTTCTTATAAATAAAAAAATGTTATAAAACTATAAAAGTTATTTATTAATTATTCTCTAAAAATGCAATTATTTGCTAAGGTTCTCTAGATTTCATTTTTATTTAGGACATTATTTAAGAAAAATACAAAGTTTTTTAATTCAGTACTGGTACATTCAAAAATAATCCATTATCAGAGGGATATTTGCATTCGATAAATTAATTCAGTAGTGGAACATTTCAAATATTTACTTATAATTAAAAAACAAATAATAAAAAATGAATGAATTTAATAGAAATCATAAATGTAAAGTCTAACCAAAATATAACAACATTAAAAACACATTTTCTCTTAACACTTGCTAAATGGAAAAATAAGAATTTCAAATTTTTTATTGCTCGATATCTCACATTTACTCATATTGAAATGTTCCACTACTGTTTTCGACCGACGATATTTGGCATATTATAAAGATACCAAAGATTACCACTTGGAAATAAAGGTCTACGCATAAATTACACGCAACATCTTTCAATGTTTCTCTTTAGCCTTAATTGAGAATTAAATTAGAAAAACCGAGATAATCATATATTGACTCAATTTATGTAAAATTGTAGGCTCCCTCTATGCATACATATGTATGTATGTAATAACTATAAGGTACCACCTAAAATGTGGTGATTATATACTCCTTGATGGTAGCCGAAAGTAGCCGGACTCCATCTACGGGCGTGCAAGCGCGTTTACGTGCTTGTTGGTGTGTGTATGCGTGTGCTTGTGGGTGTGTGTGCGCGCGTGCGTGCGTACGTGCGTGCGTGCGAGTGTGCGTGCGTGTATGTGTGTCGTAAGTAGCTCTAGCAATAATTTGTTCTTCGGGAAAGTTTCGTTTACAATTTGCAATTTTTACTGTATCATAAGTATCGCGGTAAACGCGCGCGGTTTCGTGTGTGAATAAAACTAATTTATTTTCATTTCGCTGGATCTTGCTTAATTTTTCTTAACAACTTCTAAAATTGTTGATAACAAAAAAAACATATGCGCACTTCAGACACGGTGGAAGTGAAACCTTCAAGAAACTAAGCTTCGCGAGAATGAAACGAATGCAGAGTATTAGGAGTAGAATAATTGTAGGATTTATTAATTATAATATTGTTACTAAGTTTAAAAAGTATTTAACATTTTATTTTACATATATTACATTACACATTATACAGACTTCAAGTTTTCAGTTTCATCATCGTAAGTACATAAATATTTTCTAATTATCAAATTTTCTGATTAATCCTTACTGCTCATAGATCACATATGCTCTATAGCAGCATATTTTAACGAAGTTTTCACTTTAAAAAATAATGCCTGTAGAAAAGCTTCCATGTCTTTGAGAACAGAAATAAATAATTACTCGTTATATGAAGCAGCAAAAATTCTAGATCATAATATTTTAAATCTAAAGTGGGACACCAAAACCTGATATAAAATAAGCCTCGTTTATCTGTTTAGTCAGAAGAGAGCAGAAGGTTCATTTAAATTTAAATAATTTTAATCAATTCAAGGGTTGCAATTCGCTGAGTAACCAAGTTCTTGGGAACCTGTGTTGGCATTATAAGGCCCGCCACATATATACGAAATCCCGTTTCGATATTCCGTTTCGGAATTCCGAACGGTCGGCCACACACAAACGGAATCCCGTTTTGGCCGCAAAATATCGAACGGAAAACTACCGTACGTGTGTGGCGGGTCATAGATTTTATATGGACTTGCTGCGTTCGGGATTCCGAATCGGAATATCGAAACGGAATTCCGTATGTATGTGGCCGGCCTAATTGATAAGCGAGATTATAAAAGTTTGATGTCTTGTATGCAAAATTCTAAACACGATTCAGCCTGCTAGCAGGTTGTGTGTTTTGAAGATTAAATAAATTGAATACCTTGGTTGACAAAACAAATTACTGTAAAGGAAATAATTTACATTATTAATATAGGCTAAAGTACTATTCGTATGAGCCCATAATCAAGAAAAAAAAAACACGGAAATTGAAATTTTGTCACTGGTAGCACTGCTTTAAGTGTTTTTTTTTGTCTATAGTGGGCACACACTATCGATAGTGTGGATTATCGATAGTTTTCAAAATCTATATGTATAAAAATAAATTGCTATCCGTTAGTCCGTGGGTCCCTGGATTGCTAATATTTACAATATTGGACACGGTGGGTGGAGCTGTTGTCTGTTGTCGAGATCCAGAAATCATCCGTGCGGTGCGGTAGTAGTATTTAATAGTTATCAATTATCATTTATCAATAGTATCTTTCAAAATTTAAATAATTCCAATTCAAGAATACGTATACATATTACATTATGCGCTAGTACGGAATATCTATGTGAAATATTATGTAATCGATAGCTGCAGCGAGGCTTTTCCACGTATAACCAACATAAAACTTTAAGAATTAGAAGATAAAGTGTAAGAACGTTTTTTCTTGTGTAAAATTGCAAATTTCAGCATTGCAAAAAGTGTTATTATATTCATTATATTAAAATCAAAATATTACATTAATTTTATATATAATTTTTGGATGTTTAGAAGTTTAGACTCTTAGTCTATCGATAACACCGAATTATCGATAGTTAGTATTTGAAGATTTAAATTGAACCCTAGTTTTCTATGGTGGTTCTGATTTTCAATAAAATTTTGATTACATATTACTTTTTCAGAGAACTATAACTTACCGACGAAGGTGGTGAATTAATGGATTCAACCTTCTACCGTCTAAACTCTTTAGAATTAAACACATTACAATTCATTGTGATTGACGTGGAAAATAAAACATTCGCTGTATTTCTGTAGACTAGTTTCCGAATCCAAATTAAATTTTTAATAAGTAAAGTGGGAAATAAATCCTTAGATTCCTAAAAAATCTGAAAGGATATGCCTCCGGTTAAAGATGAAACGATAAGAGAAATTAATTGTTTTGACATAAACATAGTAGAGAAGAGCCCAGCAAAAAACAGTGCGCTTGTGGATGTAAGAGCTTGTAATAAACCTGCTGCCAAGGTAAGTTTTTTAAGCAATAATACCTAATGGTGCTTTCAATAGACAAGGAGTGAACACTATCAATTTGAGTAAATTCCACAAGATTGAATGTGCGATCCGCTTGCTTGTGAGGTTTCTTTTTCTGCTTAGTGTATTTTTATGACAGTAGTGCGTAATATACGTCCCAAATTTATAAGCTACGGTTTCTATACTACTATAATACCATACACCAAATTTACGGAAATGTTCTGATAGATTTATACAAGTGCTATTGTACTCAATGTTATCTGTTACATATTGTGTATATAATACATTCACCCAGTAAAAGTAAAGCTGGTCATGGGCCTCTTAAATGGAAGGTTTGCCTTATTTATCACTCTTGGTAGGATTATTGATTGCAGTATCAGGCGTTCACTCACCTCCTTTGCACTGCTACCCTGTCTTCATCAGTCTGAGTATTTAACATCTACAGTAACAGATTTTTCTACCTACCATTATTGAAAGATTTTAAGGATCTTACAGGCATTTTTTACAGTTGCCTCTTACATTAACCGTGATATGATATAGGGCCTTGCATTCTCTAACTCTATCACCACTTAACAACATATATTTTTATTTTTTGAATATAAATATTTTCATCTCATCTTTAGAAACATCAACCCCGAATATTGCATTCATACTATTATTGTAGAAAAGGTTAATGAAGATGTATTAAGTGCCAAAAATCATAACTAAATGTACAAATGACTAATGACAAATGCCAAACGACAAAAAGTTTCATTTCACGAATACAACATAAGTCAAATTTTCACACTGGTTTAAAAACATTTGGTTGTCAAAATCAAATAAAACTATATAAAGTTGTGAAATGGAACACATTTGCCATATCCAAAATCAGGAAAAATTTATGTCAATATCAGGATGTAAACATTGATGTTTTGTGAACATTAAAATAAAAACATTAGATTTTGCTGCTCAAATCCACCATTTAAAATATTTAATATTGAGATGCTTTTCTACATAAATAAAAATTATTAATAACTGAGTAATATTAATAAAAGATTATAATTTTAAAAGTAGTTTCCCTTTTAATGAGAAAGTTTCTTTAAGCAACAGCTTTTAAATGTTATTTGGATATTATTTTTTAGATAATTGAATTGACAAACAAGCTTACAGTCCACCTGATGGTAAGTGGCTACTGCAGTCCATGGACACCTGCAGCCAACTTGAAACAAAACCGGTTACAGTTGCGTTGTCACCTCTGAGGACTAAGATGGAATAAATGTTGGGTTGTTACATGGTTTACCAGATTGTGTGATAATCTCTTCCGCTAATGTCTTGCCTACACTAAGTGATTAATAAAAAAAATTGTTAATATGATTTATTGAGTCCAGGGGGTGTGATGTTTAATTGAGGAGACTGGTACTTGAATTCTTTGGAGGCTTAAACTTGGTAATCTCATTAATAGTAGACCAGCACTAGTCAAGTTTATGAACCCCAACCCTCTAACAGCCTATAATAATAATTATGTCCCATTATAACTAAGTTATCTACTCATAGGTAGAGTCAAATTATTGCAAGTTGATAATTTCCAATGAAAAATCTCATACAAATTAACTTTGACAGAAAAAACTATATAAACATGTCTTATGTCTGATTTGTAACAAACATTGCAACTATCCGCAACATATCCAGCATTGAGATATAAAACGAAGCAAACATTTCAAAAACTTCAACCAAAGCAAAGGCATTAACTACCAAAAACATATTAGGAACCTATATTGCAGTTTTTCAAAGTAAAAATCATCTTATTCGAAAGTGGCTTTTACAAGTAATTTTTGTAAGAGTCAAGAAAGATCCTCATTTCAGCAAGCCCAAATAGATAAGATCTTGTGAGAATCTGCTAGTTACTTACAATTTTATCTTTTGAATTTTAATTTTAGGACAGTTAGAAGAGAATCGCATAAAAAAATTGAGATGGAATAGTTTTTGATACTCATGCACCGATTCCTCCTGGAGTAAAAACCCATATTGTTATAAATATCAAAATGATTTATTATTCCCCCTTTCTTTTTTAATTTATTGGCACCTTAAAATATTATGTCCTATGTCACTCTCACAACTAAGACAAATGTAATGACACCTGATATGTTAAAATCATCTAGCTGTGTGAGCTACAGAGCATGCCAAAGAAATAGAAAGAATTATACTCTTAAAACATTACCTTACTTTGTGGGCAGTCAGGAAATGAAATAAATATAAGAAACACAAACCTGATTTGGGTGTTTTTAGTTTAGTATCTAATGCAATGCTTAAAATGCAATGTAGGTAATTTTTAAATTTTTTTTGAAGCCCTTTACAATGCTTCCATAAACCAACTACACCTCCAAGTCTACAAGAAAGCTGTATAGTATATGATATCATCATTATCATCATTGCAGTTCTTTATAAGTTCTAAGTAAAACATGGTAATGCCACCCATATCCATCAACATCCTGCATCTCTTCACCCTGCGCTTACCACTCAAGAACCTTTCTTCCTTACGGGTTATCAATATTTCCAGTGGCCTATTGTGACTAGCTTACAAATCCGTTGAGCTATGTCGGTTACTCAAGTTCTACTGCAGTCTATCACGCAGACAAACTTTGTGTATAGTCCTCTCCTTAGTTCACTATCCTTCTTATATATCCTTCATACTTCTTATTCAGTCAGCAGTGAAAGACTATGTCTCAGATCCATATCTCATCACTGGCAACAAGTATTGGTTGTACTGCCCAGCGGAGTTGGATCCGTCGATTGACTTCGGTCGAACTTTGACTTACCTAGTCCGACAATTTGTCTTTAGTGAACATACTTGTCAACAACTTCAAGCATAGCGCTCCCAACAAGTACAGGCAAACGTATGATGTGGATGTTACACATAACCTTCGTCTAGTTCAGGTCATAGAGCATAGTGCTGAGGTCTTGGTGAAAACGTATTTTAATGTAGCAGTAAAGAGTATCGACGACATAAGGTCACCCTGTCTTACACCTCCTTGCAGTTAGATAGGTTTCATACTCTGGTTCAATACTCGGATAGCCATCGTAGCCATACTGTACAAACTATACCAACATTCAACTTGGCACCGTTGATGAGACTGTAGCACCGCCCAAATTTCGACGGAATTTATTATAGTCTACATATGCAAGACAAAGTGGCAGATTTTACTTCTCGGTCTCCTGTAGAACTTACTGAAGTAGAGCCATGCTGCAGCTATGTTGTTGCTATAGTTGTAGCACGAATGGGTCAGCTTGACCGGGAAGGACCACACTCTCACAGAATACCAGTGTAAAAAGCTTAAAGCTGCTGTATTTCGTATGGTGAGTGTAGAGAATCGGAGACCTTTTTTTCTGGAGACGAGGCATTCCATCTTAGTCCTCACTGGTGACAACGCATTTGCATTTGATTCGTCTTTGAGCATAGATGTAGATGTCTATGGGCCACAGCAACCAATTACCATCAGGTGAACTGTGTGCTCCTTTGTCACCCTTATCCGATAAAAAAAAAGAAATTGGTCTGTAGTTCTTTAATATAGTGTTGTCGCCTTCCTTGAAGAAGAAGTGCGGTGCACTTCTGCTCTATGCCTTCGAAACAGTGCCACCATGGAGAACGGAATTAAAGAGCTTCTGAAAGACTTCAAGTACTGGTTTTACACCCGCTTTTAGAATCTCCGCTGCATCTGTCCGACAGACAGATCACTTCTTAAATAAGAGCTGTATTGAAGTTTTGTAAGTCTTGTCACATGTATTTGGAGATCATTATGTTCACTTGCCCGTAAGTTGTCATATCTGCTGAAGACTGCAGTTTCATTTCCCGTCTAAGGCCGGCCACATACATACGGAATTCCGTTTCGAGATTCCGTTTCGATATTCCGATTCGGAATCCCGAACGCAGCAAGTCCATATAAAATCTATGACCCGCCACACACGTACGGTAGTTTTCCGTTCGATATTTTGCGGGCAAAACGGGATTCCGTTTGTGTGTGGCCGACCGTTCGAAATTCCGAAACGGAATCTCGAAACGGAATTCCGTATGTATAGAGCGGGCCTTACAGCCAGAAAATTAACAATGTTATTGAAGAGTTTTGGGTTCATCTGTGACGTGTCGTACAAAACTGTTATATATGTATGTTTAATAATTTGTGTTTAAAATGCAGTTAAGGTAATAACTAGTTTTGGGACCCTATCGAAATCTAGTATAAACCTGAAGTTTCTTAGAAAGCCTTATATTAGGTAAAACATCACAAAAGTCAACGAAGATAGAAAGAACACCCGCCTATTTTTCTTTACCTTATTATTGTTTTTCTTGTTGTGGGTATGTGTGTAGTGTTTTTTTTTAAAGTGTGAAAATGAGATGACTAATACTAAAAAATCCCACACTTCGTACCTCGTATGTCGCATAAGCGTGCAAATTCTGTTATGTCACATATAAATCTTGTCTCATCTCATTGTTATTTTACTCGTTTAGCTACACACACACACACACACACACACACACACACACACACGCATACATACTATATAACAATACATATATTATATAAATACATGCACACACTAGGGTTGCCTAGGTTGTATAATAAATATAGTATCGTACTATATTTCAGTCAATTGTACTATATTTTTGTCCCTAATTCAACTGTCGCGTTTTTTTTTTATATTAACTATGATTAGAAGTCTCGAATAAGTAAGTTTTACGGAAAGAATTTTTTCCGTCATCAATGTAAAATGGAAAGAACAAAGAAATAGACCATGTATTAATTTAATTAAAATGAATTGTTAATTTATTTTAATATGAATCTAAATTGCTCAGATTGCTATAATTATTTTAAAGGCAATAGATCATTGATGGCCAAAGCGAATCTTTATGTATTTTTCCATATATATATATGGAAAAATACATACAGATTAAAAATAAATGTGTACTATTTATTTCCTGAATTTCCTAATTATAATATTTTTATAATAAAAAGAAGCAAAAATATTATTTGTATTAATGTTTTTGCTTCTTTTTTGAAAAAATTCTATATTTGTTCAAAAAAAGGTGGCAACCCTAGCAAACACGTATATATTATACGCTTGGCCTAAAGGTCTAGATACCAGGCCATAAACTCCAAAAAAATATATATATATTATACGCTTTTTATACAATTTATCAAATTGTGCCGAAATAGGTATAATATGTTCAATCCTTCCAAATAGGTCCAATTCTCTCTTAATTGTCGAAGATCGCGTTTCTTATGTTTTGCCAACAAAGAAACCAATGTCGAAAAAGAAAAGAATGTGAATGTAATGTAATGGGATCGATATTTGTTGTGCAAGTAGAAAAATAATACATATAAGGCCGTAAGTTAATTTAATTTATGAAATATGAATATCCTAAAAAATTACAAGTTCGATCCTCTCAGAAATGAAAGGTAATATTAGCAGTAATTTTTCTTTCCTTTTTATTAGATACTTCATATTTTTCTATTTCTGCGCGAGATATCAAAGGTTTATTGATAAATGCTTAACTATTTTATGAATTACGCGCGAATGATTGAGTGCCAATTGAAATGCCTCGTGAGCGCAAAATATTTACAAACCCATTTTCGTATTTGCACCGTTCATTTGTATATCAATAACTTGTATTGAAGTACTTGTACTTTTACGCTAAATACTAAAATATAAAATATCATAGTGATTTTATTTTAAAGAAAATTTCACAGAACAGTGCGTTTCTCTACTTAGAGACTAAAATCGTACAAAAATTTAAAGTGCAGAAAAAGTAATCCTTATATTTGTAATTATCAGTATGGGCCTGATTAGAATAAACGTCCATAGTAGAAAGTAATGAGTTTATTTCAGTTCATTGTTAATTGATTATGTGTCTATCGCAAAGCACAATGAATTTAAATTTCTCTCAGCATCACAGACTGCACCAACATTCGTAATGTCTCTTTTCACTTTTTTTTCGTCTGCCGCTCGAAACGCGCGCCTTCGCCTCTGTCATAATCGCACTCGCATCGTAATTACTCTCTGAAACCGGCTAACACGAGCCGTCTGTTATGTAGCGATCATTATATCATTGCCACAATTTTGTTTCATTTCTTTATTTCTTTTTTTTTCGCTACATTGAAAGTTTTGGTGTTGTGTTTATTTTTGCAGTTCGCGATGTTGTGGCCTGCTGATTTTAGTGTTACTTGTGTACATGATTTTATTTTTTAAAATGCACAGAATATAATATGCTCATAGTTGTGAAGTACGACTGTAATGTAGTGCATGCCTTATTTCGCACAACCGTAGTGACGACGTCATGACTAATTCACAGGTATTTCTTTTTCTCTTTTATTTTTGACTTAGTGTTACCTTTTAGCTATTCTTTTTTTTTTCAGTTGTACTGGCAGGTAAGTCAGTATTAATAGCTCGTTAACTTAATCTTACCCCTTCAGCATTTTATGTCAAAAATTATTATAAAAAATTAATTGATATTATGGTAAGTTAAAAAAAAAACTTACAAGAATGAGTAGCTCGCAGTAGCAAAGGTTTTAACTTGCACATTGTACTTAATAAAAAGCATCGTAATGTAAAACGAAATTGTCTTAAATATAGGAATCGAACTAAGGACAGCATTCGACCTCGAAAAAAATACTTGCTTCTTAAATTTATTATACTGATTTCGGTGATTCGGTGTAATATAATTTAAAATTAAAAATTTTGTACAGCCGACTTCAATATGAGTTATTAAGAATAACTCAAAAACTATTGGTCTGACCTTGATTAAATTCATATGGGACTACACGAGAAGTACCAGCTTTCAAATAAAAAAAGAATCATCCAAATCGGTTCACCCAGTAAAAAATTATGAGGTAACACACATTTAAAAAGAACATACAGTCGAATTAAGTACCGTCTCCTTTTTGGAAGTCGGCAGAAAAAAAGCAATATAATAAAATTAAAATACTTTATTTTAGCGCCATAACGCACACTGATAGGATTACCTTAGTAATATGTATAATTTTCCATTAAATATCATAAAAATTTCAGAATTAAGTTCTCAAAGAAATATTTACATAAATTAGAAAGTATTAAAAAATAAATATTTACTTTTTGGATAAAATAATTCGTAAGTTATTTAAACTGAGGAAACAAAATTCAATGTATTATTATGCAACGTTGACGCTTCAAGAGAATTAAAGCTTGATACGGACAAAACTTTGCGTGTGGCAACAAGGTTAATTGAATGTAATTGTAATAGACGATTGCTGTTTGGGAACATGGCAAGTTTAATGAAAAGCAATAAGACCGCTTGCTTCGGTTATTATTTGTCAAGCATTAAGTACGCGTGCTACACTACATTCGTGTTGGATCATATACCTAATTAGGAATTATCTGTTGAATAGCAAAGCTAACTCGAAACAACAAAACACCTAGGGTATACTCTCTATTCCATTCTAGAGAAGATACTTAGTGAACAAACCATTCCGTTTACGGCATTCTTGAAGAATTTCATTTTACAATTACATATTAAGATATGAATAGAAAGTAAGCCGATTTACTATAAATTGAACAGATGCAAAGAGATCAGTTAGGTATAACTTCTTATTAGTTTCAACCACAGATTAATATAATGCTGAAACACCTGAACGAATGCCTACCCCTATAGATTGCCCTGTAGGCGGGATATTTGCCATATTTACTACGATTGCCCGGCGGCTTGAACACCGCATTGTTTTTAACTTTTTTTAGTTGTTACTTGTTATCAGGAAGATGCTGCTGCTCCTCTCCTATTTCAAACAATAAAATATTAGTTTTTAGTTTCTACGGCCTATAAAAATTAATGACAGTGACTTTCAGTTTTACCTAACCACAATTTAGTTGTTTACAATGTCGATCGAGTAAGCAATATAAACATAACGACAGTGATCACAACCGCCCGATTGTATCGTTTAATGGTGAAGCGAGTAGGTATCTAGATATAGGGCAGAAACTTTACTCGTAATATTTAACCTCACCATCCGGCCTTACTGACCCGAATATGTATAGGGCGGCAAGGCTATCACAAAAATGTCTTAAAATTTGTTCAAGGAAAAAAATGATATTGGTAATTTTTCAGAGATTTAGCGGAATTTCCTCTTATCAAAAATAACACTTATAGGAATATAATATAGTGCCAATTGCCCGTTAATAGTCCTCAAGTTGATTTTCTTGTGTACTCGTAATCGTAATGCTTTTTATAATGATTTCAATATCATAGACGCGAAGATCACAATGAATACAGACCCAAAAACCGATCACTACCGAACACTGTGTTGTAATTTTGATCCATCCTCATACTGGTTTCTGTAAGCTCAGGACCCGCAGTTTAGGAGTCATATGACAGTAAAACAGCGTTATGTTTAAACATATTTCTTACTCATAAAAGTAGTAAAAAGTCAATAATCCTTGCTTATATATAATTCATAACTAGCTGTAACTTTTAGGTATGGTTCCGTGGGGTGAGGAGTTCGAAGTTCCGCCATGTGTACGGAGTTTCTTTTAAGCGGGAGAGATGTTACGACAACATAAAAATTACCAGGAACGCGCACGATTCCAACTTCTGCGCGGTGAATCCCAAGTTTGTGGCCATCGTCACAGAGGTCGCTGGCGGCGGGGCATTCCTTGTTCTACCTTTGGATCACGTGAGTAACAATTTTAATATAATATTTTATCTAATATAATTTTATTATGATCAATGGCTTGCCGGTCTGGATATTACGAGGCGTGTGGTGGCAGTATAACAAAATCCCACCCATATCTCATCTAGATGGAGGTGACTTTTTTACGTACCTTGAAACTGTAATAGTAATAAGTTTTATATTTTAATGTTATAATTTCAATATATAGTCACGTTTTAATAATTCTATGCGTCAGCTCTCAAACTCTCAACGCAACCCCAGCTTCAGACAGTTGAAGTGTTAGGGTCCTTTGTCTTGTGCCGCTCGCGCTCGATAAATGTTGAAGCATTTATCGAGCGCGAGATGCATGGGTGAGAACAGCCATTACAATTTTATTTATTTTTCGTCCTTTTGGGTAATGTTAGCCATCCACGAGGGTGTGATATGATAGAGTATGGCTTCTACAAAGTATACAATTTAGTATTTTTGAAGTATTTCCTTCTTATGAAGCTAATTGTTAAATGAGCTTATGATTTTCCGTTTGTATTATGCCTTCTAATGATAAGTCAAATATTTTTAACTTAACATTAGATGGCGAATTCCCTCGATAGTTAATAAAGGTTTGTTAACACGTTATAACTAAGGAATTATTCGGATTAATTCCAGCCGCCAAATTTCACGAACGCACATCGCGACAAAACTCACGATACCATCCATCATGGTATCCATCTGGATGCTTGGCGGTCCACCACTGCGTTTTACTAAGAGTTTTCTTCCTCGTACAACCTCTTTATGGAATCTACCATTTTTTACCATTCAATTTTTTGATACGATTTAGGGACCTTCAGGAAAAGAGCTTACTCCTTTCTAAAAGGCCGGTAACACACCTGCAATTCCCCCGGTGTTGCAGTTGTTCATGGGCGGCCGTAATCACTTAGCATTAGGTGAGTCGCATGCTCGTTTGCCCCCTCTTCTATAATAAAAATGTTTTGATTCCTCTTCTTGTTCAATGTTCGATTTATTTCCTTCCATCACAAAATATATTCCTTTTATTTGTCGCGATATAAAGAAATATTTATACACAATGGAAGTCTACGAGGCAAATTCTCAGCGACAATTTAGACAAACACCTTTCCTTCAGTATGACAAAGGATGTTTAATTTATTTTTATTACGTATTACACTAATTTATACGTAGGCGGGTTAGCGGTTTGTAACCATGGTTCAATTGTCAGCGTTGTGTTCCAGATCCTACCAACGTACGAGTATAAGACTACAATACAATATAAGGGAATACAATACAATACTCTTTATTGTACATCAAGGAAAGATTAACACAACAAAATATACAAATAATGAGGGAAAACAAAAGGCGATCTTATTGATACTGTTAATAGTGGCGCGTAACAATACGTAGCAATTTCGTCCAGTCTACCCAAAATTATTTACAAAGATAAACGGGCAGGGGTGTATTATTATAATAAACGATAACAACTCCTGCACTAATAAGCAATGTTCTTTTCTTTCAAAATTGTTAACTTTAGTTAGTACAAGTGGTAAAATTAAAAATTTTGTACAACCGACTTCAATATAAGTTATTAAGGATAACTTAAATACTACTCAGACATTGATCAAACTTATATGGGAACATCAACTTTCAAATAAAAAAAAGAATCATCAAAATCGGTTCTTCTAGAAAAGTTATGAGGTAACACACAAAAAAAAAAGAAAAAAATTCGGTCGAATTGAGTACCTCCTCCTTTCTGAAGCCGGTTAAAAAGACAATATACTTGACAACAAACTACATAATATCTGTCATACAATTGAAATCTAAATATGTATTTTTGCGTGGTAGAGCCATGCTGCAGCTATATTAGTTGTATAGTTGTAGCACGAATGGGTCGGCTCGATTGTGGTAGGACCACGCTGTCACAGAACTGTACTGTTTCATATGGTGAGTGTAGAGAACCGGAGACCCTTTTTTACTGGAAACGTGGCATTCCATCTTAGTCCTCAGGGGTTACAACGCATCTGCATTTTGATTCTTAATCGAGGATAAATGTTATCCATAACATTCATTTACCATCAGGTAGACTGTGTGATCGTTTTTTAACCTTATAAATACAATAAAAAAAATTAAAATATTTTTTTTTAAATGTTACCCCCACACTAGGATTTTCTTCTGTATCGTAGAGGCATTTTACAAACATAAATTGCACGAGGACAAACATCTAGACGCGGAACAAATATTTGTAGGCCATACAAATACTTGTTCCGTGCGGGATTCGAACCCGCGGCCCCCAGCGCAACAACTTATTGCTAAGCGACTGCGCCACGGAGCCGTCGTGATTTTTTTAAATTCAAACTTAAATATGTATATCTCACTCTGTCAAGACTCTCATTCTAAAGAGAGTTTTAGGGCAAAGAGCCCAACCCGCCGTCGCAATGCGTGTTGGCAGACTTTACATGTCCTTAAAAATATTTTATGATTTCTCATACGTGCTGCTTTTTTTGAGATGTTATCGTCCACCGACGAACACGTGGTAAATCATCACTTAAAATTGCTATTTAATATTTCAGTGGTGCGACGAGCATCGAACTCGAACGTCTCGCATAAAATGAAATCTTAACGCAACCGCCAATTTAGATGTGATTCGAAGTATATATTGATGAAGCTACATACATGGAAATTAGTTTTTAGAGTTATCTTAAAATAACGTTCTCATAACTTTCAATGTTCATTATGTTAGTGAATGCACTGACTGTTTTCATATTCGCAATTATTTGTGTTCTTTAACATTTACTGAGTTTTAAATAGTTTTTTCCAATTTCTGAGAAGGATTAAGAGCAAGTGTCAACCGCGCTGCCCTAATGCGTGTTGGCGAACTTGTCTTTGAATTTTTTTTTTATTTCTCAAAGCCGTAGTAGCTGGAGGCTAAGCGTTCGCCGTATAACGCAAGCAACCCAGTATCGATCTCTACCGGCGCCGATGAAATTGCTTATTGCAATTTTAAGTGCTGAAGTTTACCACTTGTTCAGCGGCGAAGAAAAAACATCGAAGTCTGAGAAATTAAGATATTTTTTTTAAATCCAGATATAATCACTAAACAAATAAGTCCGCCTAAACGCGCAAGCAAAAATTGCTTGTGTTTATCAGTTATCACTCATGTCACTGTATTTCACAAACATAAAGTTTTTTTCTACGTGGTAGAGCCATGTTGCAGCTATATTAATAGTATAGTTGTTGTACGAATGGGTCAGCTCTCGACCGGGGAAGGACCACGCTCTCACAGAATACCAGCGTAAAATAGCAGCTTGACGCTACTGTGTTTCGTATGGTGAGTGTAGAGAACCGGAGACCTTTTTTACTGGACAAGAGGCATTCCATCTTAGTCCTCACGGGTGACAACGCGTCTGCATTTTGATTCTTTATAGAGGATAGATGTAGATGTCTATGGGTCACAGCAACCACTTAAAATAGGGTGGACTGTGTGCTCGTTTGTCACCCTATAAAAAAATTGAATGACAAGTGGTAAAATGAAAAATTTTGTACAACCGACTTTGATCAAAGTCTCACCAATAGTTATTGAGTATTCCTTTATAATTTATATTGAAGTCGGTTGTACAAAATTTTTCATTTTACCACTTATCATTCAATTTTTTTATAGGGTGACAAACGAGCACACAGTCCACCTGATGGTAAGCGGTTGATGTGACCCATAGACATCTACATTTATCCTCTATAAAGAATCAAAATGCAGATGCGTTGTCACCCGTGAGGACTAAGATGGAATGCCTCTTTTCCAGTAAAAATTGCATCCGGTTATCTACACTCACCATACGAAACACAGCAGTGTTAAGCTGCTATTTTACGCTGGTATTCTGTAAGTGCGTGGTCCTTCCCCGGTCGAGCCGACCCATTCGTGCTACAACTATACTACTAATATAGCTGCAGCATGGCTCTACCACGTAAAAGTCGGTAGAAAAGGAAAGTTACTAAAATTTAGGCTTACTAAACCAACAACATATAATATATTTCATAATACTAAGCATCTGTTATATAGCGTTATCATGTTAAACGATTCCCGATATAGTTTAGTAAACGGTAAATTAAATCTTTAATAACAGGCACAATATAGTTGTATACTATCTACAATAATAATTAATTACCTATTATCCAATAGATTCATATCATCGCGGAGTAACTAAGTACGCTGTCTGTGGTTACTAGCTAAATTAATATACTACGTCGGTATAAAATGGAAACAACCCTTTTGTCCACTAAATAACCTCAAAACTCACTATGTCAGTACCTTTAAAAACACTCGCGTCAATCCATACATCGATTTTATAAACATACAGCGAATAGCATAAAAATTTAAGTAAAAAAGTTTCCTATAAGGCCTGCGACATACAAACGGAATTCCGTTTCGATATTCCGATTCGTGATTCCGAACGCAACAAGTTCATAATATAAAATCTGTGACCTGCCACATACGTACGGGTAGTTTTCCGTTCGAAATTTTGCAAGCAAAACTGGATTCGGTATGTGTGGCCGACCCGTTCGGAATTCCGAAACGGAATCCTTAAACGAAATGTATGTGGCGGGCCTAAGACATTAAATACACACAAGATAAATGTATCATTTACTCTACTAAGCCGCCTTCTAGTAAAATATATTTTGTGTAATTTTTATCAACTTACTAGAACTAGAAAAATTCTAAAAGAACAATTAATTTTCATTTCTGTGTAAATAAATGACTCTGATGAGTCAACTGTTTTGTACAAAATTGGCTTATTTTAAGAATAAGTAATTTTATGAATGGAACCAGTAATGTATACCGGTTGTTTTTGAGTAGATGTGGGGGGAAGGGGGGGGGGGACTAGCGGCTCACGTGAACAACTGCAACAAGGGGAATTTTTAATTTTTTGTTTTTAACGCCTTACTAACTATTGTAGATACCTATTTATTACGTCATCACAAATCAATAATACTCTACTTCTTTAAGAATGGTGGAAACCGCA